CAAATCTATTTTGAGATATTCCTTATTTTTTCTTCATTTTCCGAAAGAGCATCAAAAATAATGTCCAAATGATGAAAACCAATTGAATATGTTAAGTATTGGCTGAGATATGACCATCTGAATAAATATATTTCCTATAGGAACTCAGTGTTATTTGCTCTGGCTCCTAATGGTTAGGAGCCAGAGCAAATAACACTGAGTTTCCTATGGGAAATCTTGTTATTCAGATGGTCATATCAATGACTGTTATCCTTCATCTAGACTATTATCATGTATACGCTTTGCTGACGATTCTAATTTATTTTATACAAATAAGGATCCACACCAGCTCTCCGAAATTGTTAACACTAAATTTAAGAATGTAGCAATTTGGATTTCAGCAAATAAACTTTCACTAATTTTTTTTGGATAAAACCCCATTTTATGATATTTGGCAATAGTATTACTACACTCCCTGAACCTACCATTCTCATTACACATGCACTCACCCAGGTTACTAATACCAAATTCCTTGGTATTATAATTGATGACCGTCTGACATGGAAATCCCATGTTACACAATTATGTAACAAGGTAACATCACGTAACATCGGTGCAAATAAATAAAATTAAACATTTTCCCCCACAGCCCACCATCCATGTATTAAACTGTACTCTTGTCCTATCCATTTTGAATTATGGAATACTCGCATGGGGCCAATCTACTAAACAAAACCTCAGTAAACTCATACTGCTACAAAAAAAGGCTAATGAGAATTATCTGCAACAAAAGCTATCGTTCTCACCAGGCGCGCCGGAAGCAGTTTGGGATTGGGGGGGGGGGGGGGCAAACATCACAGGGGGCTCACATTCCAGGGGCAGTGACGTAATGAGAAAAAAAAGTTCGGAAGGGGGGGGGGGCAGACGAAAAATCTGCATCACCACCAGTCTTACACGTTATATGCAGGTCCCGCGGAACGTTTTTCAAAGTGGAGTATTATCGATCAGATAGAGCGTAAATTGGCGTGGGGGTCCAGGGCATGAGCCTCCGCAGGGGGTCAAGCAAGGGGCTGAGCACCCGGAAGCTCAGGGGTTTTAGGTATTTAATTACGGTTAGATGAGCATCCAGGGGGCCGCTTTAGGGCCCTTGTCGGGGTCCAGGGGGCAGAGCCCCTGGAAGCTCGGGGGTTTTAGGTATTTAATTAAGGTCAGATGAGCATCCAGGGGCCCGACTTAGAGCCCTTGGTGTTGTCCAGGGGGCAGAGCCCCTGGAAGCTCAGGGGTTTTAGGTATTTAATTACAGTCAGATGAGCATCCAGGGGCCCGTCTTAGGTCCCTTGGTGGGGTCCAGGGGGCAGAGCCCCCGGAAGCTCAGGGGTTTTAGGTATTTAATTACGGTCAGATGAGCATCCAGGGGCCCGTCTTAGGTCCCTTGGTGGGGTCCAGGGGGCGGAGCCCCCGTAAGCTCCGGGGTTTTAAGCATTTAATTACGATCAGATGAGCTTTTTTTATACCTTATTTGTGACATTGGCAGGTCACTTTCTCCCTCTTTCTTTCTTTTCATCTTTAACATACTTTTTCAAAAAGGAGGGGGGGAGGGGGCTCGAGCCCAGCTACTTCGCAGACCATGACATAAAGGCTTCTGAATAAGCGTATTTTGCCTGACTGTAATTTGGGAATTTCTTATTTTCCAACAAACGCAGAAAAAGGTATGACAACAAAAAAAATGTAGAAATAATGCCGGAAAATCATGTCACAACATCAACATTTGTAAATCACTTGTTTCGAATAAGAAATACATCACCTCCCCCATCAGTACGCCAGCGTTCAGGGACTCATGTCTTCTCACCCCTATAACAAAAAAAACGGACACGCTTTCCCATTCTCGCACAATATGTCCACGATATGCGCGTATCGCTATTATAGAGACCTCCATTGATAAATACCGTATAGGTGGCATGCGCAATGTTTATGAAATTGAATTCCTGTGAACTTTCCTTTCTCTTTGAATGGAATTGTATATGTGATTTAATTCAGGTTTTTATTATTGTTACGTTCTTTTGGATTAAAAATACAAACCATGTTTACTCCTTAACTGTTTTTTTTTTTTTTTTTTGGGGGGGGGACAAAAAAAAGCGTTTTGCCCCCCACACTTTCTTGACTGGGGGGGGGGGCAACTGCCCCATCCCTGCCCCCTCCCCCACTTCCGTTGCCTATGGTTCTCACACTAACACTCTTTGTTATAATAATAAGATCTTAATAATAGATGAATTATAATTTGTATAATCTCGGTTGTTTTATGCACCTTTTGGAGAAAAAAATCAGTTACCAGAAAACCTGTTGCAATTTTTTTTTTTTTTTTTTTTTTTTATGAAGTACACAAGTACCCCACTCGACAATCAGATCAATTTCATCTACCACAGACCAGAACCGTCACTGCTCAAAAGACTTTTATATATGCCGGACCACAAGCTATGGAACTCGTTGAATGATAACATTAAAAAATCAGCTCCTACTATTTTTTCATTCAAACGTAGACTTAAACAGTACCTTCTAGATAGATACAATCCTTAAAACGACAACATGTATTGAGAAAACAGCTTTTGGAACAATAATAAAATAAAAAAAGAAGATAAACCTATTAGTAAGATAAGACCAAAACATTGCAAAAGTAACCATAGTGTGTAATGTCCCCGTCCTTCATGCTTCATATTCCATTTTCTCTATCTTTCTTCTCTCTCCTTCTCTCCCTCTCTCTCTCTCTCTCTCATTCTCTTCTCTGCTAGAAAGGTTATAATTTGTTATTATTTCCATTATCTGTAATCTTTGTGTATATTCACCAATGTTAAAGACAACCTTTTTGTTTTGTAGCGTGGGGGTAGGAGGGGATGGTGTATGATTACCTAAGCATTTTTATACATATATTTTCTAATTATATTACAGAGCACTTGTAACTTTTTTATTCTCAAGGGGTCTATAAAATACAAGCCATGCTTTTTTGATAGACTCCTCCACTATGTTTTACTTCCGTGCCAATCTTAAATGATTTATTTGAATAATTGTATAATCATCTGTCGAATCTTTGGTTAATATTTGTATATATTGCATATTCATTTGATTATGTTATATTATGTGGAAATAAACAAAAACCTTGAATCTCTCTCTCCCCCTCTCTCTTTCTTTCTCTTTCTTTTTCTTCCTCTCTCTCTCTCTCTCTCTCTTACTCTGATCTCTCCCTCTCTGTCTCACTTTCCCCCTCTCTCCCCTCTTCCTCTCTTTCTCTCTCCATCTCTCTCTCTCTCTCCCTCTCCTATCATAGCGGCGCCTTCTCGTCAAGATCACTCTTCTTTCAGAACATCGAATATAGTTTTGCAGTATGGGATACGGCGGGGCATGAAAGGGTAACTATGATTTTTTTAAAGATTTTCTTGAGGAGAAGAGGGATTTTGTTGGTTAGCGATATCGAGAATTTTAGGTGTAAACTCATTCATCTAATACTTTATTGCAATCATCTTCAAGTCTGTTTAAGAGACCCTGGAAAATATTTTCTTATCATTTGTTGTCATCACTAAATGAATAAAATTCTGTTTCATAACAGTAAATGATAACGCGGTGACCATTAGGCCCCCCCCCCCCCAAACAAAACAAAAAAAATTGTTTGGTTGTCCTCGATTGCTTTTCTGGAGTAGGGGCGGGCGGACGGGTGGATTTAAAAAAAAAAAAAAAAATTTAACTTCATTTTTGTGTGTCTTTTTTTTAAATTTAATTTTTTAAATTTTTTTTTCCATAAAAAAAATCAAAAATCATTGGGATTGTCAAGCATTTAAACAAACAAAGTCTACAAAACACTTTAATATGGTTAAAGACTAGTTTCATGTACAATGAATATCAAGACCGACACAGAAAGTATTTTGGGCTTTGAAATACAGCACCTTTTTAATCTCCATTGTACTACTTACAGCTACTTGCGCCCTCTATGTAGCAAACAATGCTTAATCGGTGACCATTGGTCCCCCATGATCCTCTTTATCTTATATTAACTGAGAGCTGATTTGATGAGATAACCACCTGTCCAGTGACCTTGCAGGGTGGTCTAATCCCTCCTGGAAACTAGTACAGATGGGCTTTAAAATGAGTTTAAGAATGCTCAGAACCTGATTTGAATGAACGGCATTTTGACTTTGAAAAATAAAAATGGCAAGTTTAATAAATACCTAATTGCGTACTGAAAAGACAAAACTGGCAACGGGACGCATTTCGATCCTTGCAAATGCATAAAATGGTATGTTTGGCATTTAACTTTGCTCCCCCATAAAATAAAATTAAAACAAATAATAATAATAATAATAATAATAATAATAATAATTAAAAAAAAAAAAAATTGAATAAAAAAAAAATATATAATTTTTATTAAAAAAAAATCAAAAACATACGAGCGGCCCGAAAATGACGAGCGGGCGGTCGAGGACAACCAAATGATTTTTTTTTTGGCCTTATTCTCTAAAGATCTGGCATCATTTCCTATTTAACTTTGGAATGACTTAAAATTAGAAAATATTCTCATCAAACGAGTATATGTGTACCTAATTGTCATAAAATATCTAAGTGGCATAATTCTTATTGATCCTCGGAAAGCAGGAATTATTATACTGAGCTGTAAATCCTGTAATAAATACTATAGACAATCTGCCATTACCAAACAACGCGTTATTTTATGTTCGCTTGATAATACCAGGAAAGAAGAAAACTGGGAATAAATAAACACTTGTAAGTCGAGTATTTGGTGTCATGTTCGTTACACATCTAAATCTAATACATAATGTTATTTCATGTTTTCCTCATCTAAGGTTTAGCCCAGCCTATCAGCATATTAACTGAATTTAACTTGACTTAAACTTATCTTAACTTAGCCTAACTTAACTTATCTTAACATAACTTATCTTCACTTAACTTAACTAAACCGTTATCATGATTATCATCACCTGTTTATTTGTCTCGTACAGTTTCGTTCAATGGCCCCTATGGTGTACAGGGCTGCAGCCGCCGCACTCATCGTTTATGACATCACAGATCAGGTAAGTGAATACAGGTTTTCGCTTAGGTGACGCTAAGAGGTATCCCACCGGGGAGGGAAAATGTTGCCCCACCGCTGCATACAAAAAAATCGACCCTTTTACTCTTCTTCTTCTTCTTCTTCTTCTTCTTCTTCTTCTTCTTCTTCTTCTTCTTCTTCTTCTTCTTCTTCTTCTTTTTTCTTCTTCTTCTTCATCTTCATCTTCATCTTCATCTCCATCTCCATCTTCTTCTTCTTCTTCTTCTTCTTCTTCTTCTTCTTCTCTTCTTCTTCTTCTTCTTCTCCTTCTTCTTCTTCTGCTTCTTCTTCTTCTCCTTCTTCTTGTTCGTTTTCTTGTTATATTTCTTTTGATGGAAAATCGACATTCTTATGCGATGTAAGGGGTAAGGCTATTCAGTGCAAACAAGATACCAACGCAATATCATTGGGGGAGGGACAACTGCCCAAATGAAAAATAGCAGCAAATGTCAAGGTCGTTTCTTTTTGCTTTCTTTTTATGGAAAAAAAAACACATTTAGAATTCGTTTGATGAGGTTGATTACTGGATCTCAGAGCTAAGGAGTAAGGGTCCTGAGGAAATCTTGATTTATGTGATTGGAAACAAAGCAGATCTTGAATCATGCCGTGTTGTCGACCGGGAAGTGGCAGAGAGTTACGCCCAAACCAAAGGAGTGTTTCACTTTCATTCCAGCGCCAAGACTGGCCAGGGTGTCGAAGAAATCTTCTATCATATTTGTAAGTATTTCGAGAAATGCCATTTGCCATTTCTGTATCACCTATTCTTTGTATTTCCAGACCTATACCCCGGGCGATTACACGTTGACATTTATCCTAATCGACGGCAAGCTAGCAAACGATTGCATATGCTATTTTCACAACAGTACTCTTGATAAAATGTGGCCCAGTTGATCAATAAATGACAACATTTTACATAATTTTAATCATATTAAATCATAGAGCGCCGTATGGCAGCCGTGCTAAAGCCAGGGTAATAATCGGGAGCGCCAGGAGGGTCAAATCTGACTGACATGAGCGCTGTACAAGAACCCATTATTATTATTATTATTATTATTATTATTATTATTATCTCGTCTCGTATTGTTCTTTCACATCAAGCGAATTTGGGAAACGACAAGGCAGAGGTGGATTTCCAGAAAATAGGGGAATCGGAGGAAAGATTAGATCTAGTCCATAACCCCAAGGAAGCGTCCCTGAGAGTGACTACCATTTTTCTTTGGAGTGGTAGGGTTCTGTCCTTTCCTGTATCCGCTTATTTAAGCAAAAGGCAAAACATTGCCTTCTTCTCACCTTTAGATTTGATAAAGGTTCCTAAAAATATAAATTCTTAAAAACTTTTCAGTAAGTTAGTTTTAAAGAAAAAAGTATACGTCTATGATGATGAAACATTTGCACATAAAAGCTCACTGGTATTTGCCCCTTGACATTTTCTTCTTTTAAAATCAGTTATGTTCTTAACTATCCCCTTTCATTTCCTGTACTCCTAACAGGTCAAGAAGAGCTCAAGAAGAGTTCAATAAAAGAAACTGGATGCAAGAATCGTCAGAGTACGGTCGATGTCTCAAACTCCACCAATTCCGATGGAAACAACGGCGGTCATCGCGGTCCATGTCGATGTCAGTAAAATTGATCACATAATCAAACTAGATCGCAAAGGCTTTCTAAAATCAACGTAAAAGCAATTTCAGTAGCCTTATACATCGCCTTTGAAATATGCGAACCTTTTATTTCGACCGAACATGATTTCTATACAGGTAATACAACAGGATATTGAAATTTTCCTTACACTGATTAATCTCTTTGCAAACAGCTATTGTCAGACTTTATCAAAGCTTTCTGCATGCGTCAAGAAGAAATCTGATGTCATGGCTCAAGATTTACATGGAATTAAAACGAAAAAATCATTGCTATTATCCATATTTCTTAAGACTTCTTAAACTGAATTCTGCGAAATTATGCTCTGGCGGCAATGATTATTGTTCCACGCTACATATTCTTCACTAACCGAATTCTTAATTTCTAACCAGCCTCACCCTAACATTATACGCCAAAAAATACCCGCATCCATTGCTCCCGGAACATAATGTCTTTCAAGATTTCTTGCCAATGAACAGTGCGATGTAAACTTACTTAGAATGGGAAAAATGCCCTATAGTAAATATAAATTGGGGGAGGGTGAATAGGAGGAGGAAGGTGGAAGAGAGAGGGGAGAGAGAGAGAGAGAGAGAGAGAGTGGGGGGGGGCAACATTGTCTTTTTTAATTTATTGTTTTTCATTATCATTTATTAGATGGATCGAGGAAGCAGTCAGTCTTCTATATTTAAGGAGACATTTATCATAATATACATAATCAGGACTGTGGTACTGAAATAAAAGTTGCAGTGTATTCAATTTATTGGGTCCTGAAAGGGGTCAAAATTTCGTTAAAAATTCTATTAAAAAAATTTCATTTGACTTAAGCTAGAACATGACGTCATTTAGTTAATGACTGACTTTAAGTCTGTGAATAATGAGTTATGATATTGGGTATCCATCAAATAAGGTATTGCCCAACGAACTACACGGCCTTTCAAGGTCCTAGAAATGTCAATATCGAGAGGATACGGGGCTACACTCCTTTCCTACGGCTAGGGAGAATCCCCCACCTTTATGAGAACACATAAATAAGCAGGTGAAAGAGGGCGATGTTTCGTACTCTATGGAACGCTCTTTCTCTCTCTCTCTCTCTCTCTCTCTGTTCATGTTGTTGGAAACATTTCAGATAATGGGCTTCAAGCCTTTAAAAGTAGAAGATATGGATACTCGCCTCCTTCTTTTTTGTTGTTGCTTTTATTGCTTGTTGGTATGCTTGTTCTTTGTATCGCCTGTTTTGTAATCATTCAGTGATTCTGAGATGCAGTGGACCATATTGGCCCCACCATAGTTTTCGGAGAGAGAGTCTGTTGTTTCAGCATATTTCGTAAAATATTTGGTGAAGCTATTTTCATATTTTGCCAGTTTTTAAAGGTAAACATTACTTGGGTGCTCCAGGGAAAAATCCACCACCTTACAACCCTTTTCTTTCCTTTTTTAAGTAACCAAATATAGAATGCATGTGGAGCTAGTGGCAAGTTTGGTTGCCCCTCCCTCATCCATCACGTGATTTTTATCAAGCATAATTCTGATTAGTACGTTGCTCATAAGGCCTGTGGTACAGTATATGTCTATTCATATAAATAAGTTGCATATGCTTTTATAATTTAATTAATAATCAAGACCTATAAGTATAGTTTGATGTTTGTGATAGTAACACTAGTATCTGATGGTAGATATAGGCCTATATACATCCATTAATGATTTCAATGTAAGATGGCATGCTTAACCGAACTCGTTGTACCTGTCTGTATCAATGATATATCTCTGTCAACGAAAATTTTTGATAATGGAGATATGTAAATCCATTAAAAACATATTTATGATATTACCAATGATGACATTTTTTATTTCGTATTTCATTTTTTAGAAGGCATTATGGTATGGGTTCTTAATTGACAAGAATGAATCCAAAGATGGCCTGTGATGTAGATACCGGGCACGATCGGGGGGGGGGGGTCCTCGAAAAGTAAACAAATTAAAAAGACTCAGAGAGAGAGAGAGAGAGAGAGAGAGGGAGAGAGAAAAAAAACAGAGAAGACGGAGGAGGAGAAGCGAAAGAGAAGCGAGAGGGAATGTGAAGTGGCAAGAAGATGAAAGACCCTTTCACATTGAGCCTTCCCATTTCATCCACCTAATTGTTCATCCTGTGGTTCAGTAGACTTTTTCTTTCCGGTTTGATATTGGTTAAGCCCTTATTCAATGTGAATATCAGCTCCTTTACATGCACATAAATATATGTATATATATAGATATAGGAGTTGGAAGGTTACACTTTATTGGTACGAGTTATACAGACTCCTATACATTTGCTCCTACAGTTGAGCACTGTCAGAAATTGCAGTTTTACTAAACTTGCTTATATATATATATATATATATATATATATATATATATATATATATATATATCGAGGGGTCAGTGACACAAGGACGTAAATCCATTTTGGCCATTTTGAGAAAAAGTGGTAATGTGTCTCTGAGCACTTGGGCCTTAAGGAGTTAAGTCTATGTTTCACTAGCCAGTGACTTTAATGGGGTGTTGGGTGGATTTTAGTCTTTGTGTTTCTTGGAAAGCCCACATTTTTCTGAAAATTGTGATATCAAATACTCATTTTGGCAAAATATGGAGTTACGTCTTTGTGTCACTGAACCCTAGATATGTACTTTCTTTCATATACAAGCTCTAAAGGTCCGCGGTTCGAGTCTCGCCGCGGCACTAATCCTTTGGCAAGACATTGATCTCCATTTTCCACTCTCCATCCAGGTGTAAATGGGTACCTGATATGCTTGAGCTCTAATTACTTTGGCAGCTCGGCTACAACCAGGGTAATATGTGTAAAGCTCCATGAGCATCAGAGCCTGGCGGATACCGGCGCTATATAAATATCCATATTATTTATTATTAATATGTATTTATTGTTTACAGTTGAGATGCAAATGAACATGTAGCTATAGATATGCAAAAAGAAACCTGAGGTTGCAAGCTAGCATGCATAATCCCAGGCAGTTCCCCCACAGTCAAGCATGGAGTAAAGATGTATGTTTCTCGCTCTCTGCAGGTTAGAGTGGCGCCTTGCCTTAGCCGCACAGGCTACCCGACAATGTAAATAATCTCATCTCATCATCAATTTTTATTATGGCGAAAACTATCCAATGACGAGGGAAACGCCATCAATCTCAAATACAACAATCAACGTGTATTCGTGCATTTTTTTTTAGCACTGCCAGAAATAACCTAAAAAGATGGGTACGCGTTCATTCACAGATGGCTAGAACATTTCGGGGGGGGGGGGGGGTAATTCCCATCCATGATATCTACCTTGAACTTACAGCTGTACCAGCCATATCCTCAACATCTTGCTGGATAGAGTACCGAAGTGCTAACGTCGTATTCGCTCCTCGTCTCGGCTATTGGCTCAGGGACTTCGCATGAATTTCACCGCGATATCATTCAAGCAACAGGCTGGAGCAGGAAAAATTCAATATTTGGCGCTGGTGTGATCACCAGGCACGGAGCCACGGGGGGGGGGGGGGGGGGGCACATGCCCCCAAAAGAATTTCCAGGATCGGTTGAACTTTTTAGACCCCTCCCCAGGACGTCGATCAATTACATGTATATGCCCCCCAAACATCAAACTCTGGCTACGTGCCTGGTGATCACCACGTCATTGTTTAGCACTAAATTGTTTGGAACCAGCTACCTTGACAACTTAGCTAATATGACGTCATACTTCGGTACTCTATTGATCGGAGAGTAAAGGTTGGTTTTGAGTACATAAACAGGTTTACAAATCTGAAGATACATTTGGAACCTTTCAGTAATTTTCGCCTTGTAATTTATACTGCTTGGAAAATAATGTTCATATTTCAACCCATCACTGAGTGCGATCATAAACAGTTCGCAGGATCAATATTTCGTCCTTGTTTTCACGAAGTGACGGTAGTGAGAAAAATCGTAACGCAAAGTGAATGCAATTTTTTTCACTACCGTCACTTCGTGAAAACAGCGACGATTTATTTGAGGTTTGTTCCGTTTTCTGAGCAGCTTTAGAAATCCCCCAATTTAATTGGACTTTGACTCCAGCGTCTGAAAGAAAATGCTGTCAGTCTCTGGTCCGATCGTCTACGGAATATTATTGTCGCTGAGAATATGCCACAGAAGTCGATTAAAGTGTGCCTTCTTGGCGTAAGTATATCACACAGACAATCTTTTCGAGAGTGTTTTTGTTGCTATATTTGTCAATGAGCCCTTTGAACAATTTGAATTTGAAGCGCGCCTAATCTTTTTTTGTTTTTTGCATTTCCTTGATATTGATTGTAATTGGAGGAGTGTAATAAAATGAGGTGTTTAGGTATTATCTCAGTCAGGCTTATATATTATGTTATCAACCTCACAACGTGAATTTCCTACGAATAATATTTATGCCTCACTGACATACGCATGGTACATGTTTGCTTAATCATTGAAAAGCACAAAATGTTATTATACTCGTTTACACCATGACGTTGGTTTGTAAAAACACAACGGTATATAAGACATTTCATGGTCCAACGTATTATCTGCGTTGAAAATATAAATCACCTAACATCTTTACGTGCGCATGACTGTGCGAGGTTTGGGTAACAAAAGGGGACTTCCCCATTCCTGCGGGGTAACCCGCAGTCCTGTCCTGAAATGTTACTTAAAGGGATATAGTCCACCCCAGAAATTTCTTTATACTGTCGAAATCTCCATAAAATGTCATGTAAGATGATTTCATTTATTTTTGTAGAAAAGACAGGATTTAGCTGTAGAATCACAGTTGAAACATACGCATTCTCCCTGTGATCGCCGTCACTGGGGATCGCCATTTTGTGAATTGACCCGCCGTGGTGTGACGTATCTTGCGAGCTGGCCGTTATTGTATTGATTGGTCGGTGAATTTGTACAGGAATATTGATCTGTAAGATGCTGTTTTTCACTGTTAAACTTATATGTAATTTAGAAATAATTATTAAATAAACTTGTATTTATTAACGTTCACAAAACTGTTGCAATAAATTTTAAAAAGAGTCTACAAAACAAAACTCGTGTAATTTTTAAATTGGTTTCGTCGTCAAATGCGCACGCGTACGTGCGTGCATCGTACATTTGTAAACAACTTTCGGCTTTCTGTATCTACGGAAAACGAAGCCTAGCCGTCTCGGCTCGGGCGAGTTCTCCGTGCCGTATACGCTGTCCTCACCGCGGTCGATCATAAACTAGAAGTACTCACTCGGACTATCAAAGTATCATAATCTCGAGATTAAAGTTAACACTAAATTCACCCGAATATGAAAATACTATCTCACCATGTATATCAATCAGTCCATCTCATCATCCAAGAATCAAATGACTTTGTTGGTCAGTAATTTTATAATTTGTCGACAACTTGCACATGGTCATTTTTCTTGCTCAAGGAAAAAATTAACTTGCCAATAATTGCAATACCGGGTACCGTAAGCAGAGCAGTAACAATTAATGTCCAATAATCAAAGTTTGTGTATCATTAGCTAGCTACGTGTGAGTTTGAGAATTTCACATTATTAAATTCATGAAGGTACATTTAATCTACGATCACAAGTATTATTTTGAATCAAATTGAAACGCTGTTTGACACATATAATAGGTACCATCCCATCGCTTCGCGAAGCTAGCTTATAGCGCTAGTATTGGAAGGTACCAGCTAGCACTAGCAGACGACAACCGCGCGTGCTGCTCAGTATAAATATACAGCGGGAGGTTGATTCTTGAAGCCCGGTAAAATCAAATTATAAAACGGAAAGATAATTAATATAACTAACCTGTTTAGTACGTCTTCCAGAAATCCTTCTTTCACTTGATGTGCGCATCTTAACCGGTCCTCGATGTATGAAAATGGTAGGAATAGCATCATCTTTGAGGATTTTTCGAGGTCTTGTACCGCATAGCTCCGCTTTCAGATCATGCTCGAAGTACCGTGGTTCAAAGTGGTCGCTACAAACGACATGATTTCTATTATATTGGTAATTGTTCAAGTTGAATTTCGCCGATTTCAGCGCAGCAATCCATTTTGCACACCTTTCCCGTTCTTTCACGGGGTCCGGTATTGAGTAAAAACTTTTACCCTTTGTCCTAGAGGAGTCATTATAGCAACCTATTGCTTGGCAAAAGACCATGATTCGTCGTGTCAGTGCGATAACAGTGTACCGCGAGCGAAAGTGAATGTCTGCGAAATAAGAAGGCAGCTCGCAACATACGTCACAATTTCGATACTATCGGTTATTTTTTGGCGATCGTTTCATGCCCATGTAACGCTAAGCATATGGCGGACGGCTGATTTTCGATACAAAAAGTCGATATATCTTCGTTATGTGATCATGGATTTTAATGAGACTTGTATTATCAGGTGGGCTGTATAACGTACAGACCACCTTATAATTTCGTTAGAATTGCCTTTATTTATTTATTTATTAAATATTTTTCTTATTTCTAACCACTTTTTTGTTAGCAAGATAACTTGAAAATGGCTCGATCAAATGCCTTGAAATTTGGCACACATATGTATAGGCATATGTACAAAACACAATAACGTTTTCAACATTGACCTTCACTGATGACGTCATCTAGGCACCATTTTGTAAAAATCAACTCATGATCATATCTTCATAACCAAAAGCTATTTCTCATTCATATTTATCATGATCGAGGTCAATATCCGTCCGGTCAATTTCAGGTCAAATAACGCGCACGTGCGCGTACGTCCGCGCGTCAATGCGCGCGCAAAATTGTAAAATGCTCAAAATCGTCTCAAAATCATTTTGCATACGTTTTAGGCCATTCTAAGCATTTTATAAAAAATCGCGCACGCGCGCATGCGCGCGCGTTTTCGCGCGTAAAACTATTACACAACATAGAATCGCCATTTTTTTTCTTTCATAATATTGCACATATTTTTACAAACAAATTGATACCATGTTTACTATTAATAACGGAATGATCCCCCGTTTAACATAAATTTCCGTGCGCGCGAGCTCTTGTAATACATATCATAAATGGGCAAAAAGATGCCTATACAAAATCCATTGTAGCTCTTTAGGATGCAAGGTGACCCGAATTTTTTTCTTCTTATTGTGATAGAATATGAATTGGAGATATGATTTCAAGTCTCATTTGACCCTTACTTTTCTCATGACGTCATCATAATGGCCTCCGAACTCATAATTTCAATTTGCATATTATGATGTCAGTATATTTTTCAAAAATTGATTGCATCTCTGTAAATATTGATCGATTTTCTTCCAAATTTCGATATGTTCTAGCTGAGACAATTCGTTACAAATGTAGTTAACAACATTTTTCATTTTTGACAAAGGAATCATGGCGTATTTTTGCGATTAAAGGAGGCATGTCAATTTTTTACTTTTTGCGTGTATTCTCTATGGGACATGACTTTTTCTCAAAACTGGATTCTACATTCCCGTCTTTCGCGAGCAATATCTCCGTCGTTTTAGCTTCGTTTAAGCTGAACTTTGAGTATGATGTAGCTGAGACAAAGAGCTATCTCAAATGTACCCTTCATTTTGTCTAAAATTTTAGTTGGACCAGCCCACCTATACTTGTTCCAAACAAGTATTACAAATCTAGTTCTTCATGGTATTATTAGGTCTATATCGTCAGCTAAAGAAAATCCTGGGGTGGACTTTCCCTTTAACTATGGCAGGCTGTTCATGCCACTAGTTCCTCTAACCGGGGTAATATGATTGCAGGGCCATCAGGGAGAACAGTATGACTGCTGATGAGGCTACCCTGGGTAAACAAGACATATTATTATTATTATCAGTATTAACCATACCTGGCATTGGTCTCTCGAGGGACGTACAAACCATGGTCACAAATCTAGACAATTTTCATTTGTTGGACAAAATATTATCTCAAGATCATAATAAGCCAGTTCACGGTTGCAGTCTGAGCATGAGCAGATAAAGTAACATTCAGTGCACTCCATGATACACAGGTGGAAGTATTCTTTGAAAAAAGGGGAAACAAAGGCTATTTATTTATATAGCACCTCCATCGCTGTAGGAGTAATTATTTCAAAATGTACAAAGTGGGGCCTCTTCATGTTTTGAAGATCTGTGGATATTCGGGGTCATTGCAGTAACGTGCTAACCGTGAACTGGTCTATTGAGAGACCAATGGTGAGAGCAACCAGTGGCATGAATGGCCTGTCATAGTTAAGGCCAACTTAAAGTCGATCTTAGTCTTTGAGGCTGTTCACACCGGCAGAGATAGCGCGGTCTAGCGCGCGCTAGACCGCGCTATCTCTGCGGTGTGGAAGGTACAACGTCGTTTCGGTCCGCCCAACAGCGAGCCACGGCGAGCCAAAACGGCGTGCCACTGGAGCACCTCTTGGGGGTGGTCCACGAGAGATAGCGCGGTCTAGCGCGCGGTCTAGCGCGCGCTAGACCGCGCTATCTCTGCCGGTGTGAACCCGAGATACGATAGCACACCGGAAGTCATCGTTCTACACGCGGGGAATTTTATACTCATTCTTTTTTGGTGCGATCTGAATCTGAATCGGTACAACTCAACACTCCCACTCGTATTAGCGCGCGAAATCTTTGACCGCTCTGACCTCATGACGTTGCGCGTCATGGCAACAGGACCTCTCAAAATAGGGGGTGCTACGATAGACCGCGCTATCTCACTGCGGTGTGGATCCGGCGAATGCCAATGGGCGGACCGTGGGTCGCGCTCTAGGTCTAGCGCGCGCTAGACCGCGCTATCTCTGCCGGTGTGAACCCGAGCTACGATAGCACACCGGAAGTCATCGTTCTACACGCGGGGAATTTTATACTCATTCTTTTTTGGTGCGATCTGAATCTGAATCGGTACAACTCAACACTCCCACTCGTATTAGCGCGGGAAATCTTTGACCGCTCTGACCTCATGACGTTGCGCGTCATGGCAACAGGACCTCTCAAAATAGGGGGTGCTACGATAGACCGCGCTATCTCACTGCGGTGTGGATCCGGCGAATGCCAATGGGCGGACCGTGGGTCGCGCTACGATAGCGCGATCCACGGTCCGCCCACGGTCCCCCCCTGCGGTGTGAACACGCCCTTTGTGAAACATCCCCCCCCCCCCCCCCCCTGATCAGGCATGCGTGATTTCTAAAGCGTAACAATGGGATGCGTAACGTTCTACTTGGCTTTGAAGTTCCTTGCTCCGAGGCGCTCTTTAACTGCGGGGAATTTCGGAGGCCAGGCATAATGTTACATTTAATAAATTACCGGAAAAATTCAGTGCAAATTATAAACTTTATATGGGTAAAAGTGCATCAAACAATTATTCATATTTTGTACTCCGACCTTTCTATAATTTGTGTGCCAGAGTTGGTAAAAATAAATTAGATTCTGACAACAATTCAATATTTTAGGAATTATTTTCGCATGTTTTAATGTCCCGTCATTTTAATCCACGATTTACAATCTTCTCATAACTTTTCGGCGGCTTGGAGCACTGGGTCAAAGGAGAGCGGCTTGATTCCACTCCTTCTCTATCACCTCCCTGATCTGATATAGTTGGCTACACCTGTCGGGAGCATCTAAGATTCCACTACGTATTCGTGTGACTTCGTGATGAAATTGTTTGAACATTTCGAAAAAAGGGCTAATGTTTTCATTACAGCTTGCTCTGTAAAAGCAAATCTAATTGTTAATAAATACCATGTAATGTAGACATTATGATCGATCTCTGCACCCCCCCCCCTCTCTCTCTCTCTCTCTCTCTCTCCTAAAGACTGCCGTTTCGCTCCACAATTCCCTTTCTCAAGATTCTTGGAGCCCTACACTTCCTTACCACAATCATGATGATGATGTGTATTTACTTTCATGTCATTTATTATAGACTATCTGCGTAGGGAAAACCAGTATAACCACACGATTCGTCAAAGGAGAGTTTGATGAGAAATACATCAGCTCTGTCGGGTAAGCTTCTACCCTCTTGACCACTTTCTCAATACAATACACAATGTCACTAATTTATTATTATACAATGAATCGTATTACAATAATTACCTACGGCATTAGCCTGGTCACGAGAATTTCGTTGTTGTACATGTTTGTACCAAATGCCGCTTTAAACATTTGCTGAATGGCCACTACGTTTTTAAGCATAACCTTTATTCTCAATAAGGTTTTTTCTTGGCTAATTTATTGAAATCATAGTAATGTCTTTATGAAACTAGTTAGAAGGAAGTAAGTCTAAAACAGAAATATGAATAGCAAAGTCCGACTCGTACCATTCGGGATATAAAAAGATGAGAGACGTTTCTCTTGAGTCTGAGGCTAACAAATATCATAGGGGTTTCACAAGCTTGTTATAATGTATACAGTAATTTTTGGTTTCATAACTATCAGAACAATGTACCTGTTACATCTTTCTTTTCAAGGACAAGACTAAAAAAATTTGCATAAATCTTTAATTATGAATACAATACGCTGTATTTTCTTCCTATGCATATGAAATTAGTCTAGTCCTTACTGAAACTGACATTCGCTAATTAGCTATTTTTGGTAGTTCGCATGTTGTTTTGGTCATAAAACTTTTCTGACTTACTCTCCCTTCCCCTCTCTCTCCTTCTGTCTCTCTCACTCTCTATTTCATATTCTCTCGATATATATTTCTTCTCTCTCCCTCTTACTCTGATCTCTCTCTCTCTCTGCGTCTCACTCTCATCCCTCTTTCTCTCTCTCTCCTCTTTTCAACTTCCTCTTCCTCCCATCTCGTCATCTCTCTCTCTCTCTCTCTCCTCTCCCATCACAGCGCCGCCTTCTTGTCAAGATTACTCTACTTTCAGAACATCGAATATAGTTTTGCATTATGGGATACGGCGGGGCAAGAAAGGGTAACTATGATTTTCTCTTGAAGATTTATTGTGGAGAAGAAGAATTTTGTTTGTCAGCGTTATCGGAAATCATAGGTGTAAAATCATCTGATTTTCATATCATGTTTGTCGTTGTTCACTAAATAAATGACATTCTGTTCCATAACAGCAAACAATAAAGAAATCGTCCCTCTTTCATAATGGGGCGACCATTATTCTCTAAATATCTGGCATCATTTCTATTTAACTTTGTAATTATTAAGAATTAGAATTAATATATGTGTTGGTGGCTATTTAACCTGACTGCTAAGAAAGCATAAACGCCTGTTAGTAAGCTGAAGTTCCACTCCGAGGGAGCTGGTAATGAGGATCAATGCCTTACCAAAGGGCACTATAGCGCATCGACATGTTTTCGAACCCGGCCACCAGATTACGAGACCACTACTCTAACAACTGAGCTATCGCGCCTCCTTATCAAAATTAAAGACAGCCAGTTTGATGACAAACGAGTATAATGTGTATATAAATGTCATAAGATATCTACCAAGCATAATTCTTATTGATTCACGAAAAGCAGGAAATATAATTCCATACAGTTTTAGTTATTATCACCTGTTTATTTGTCTCATACAGTTTCGTTCACTGGCCCCTCTGACGTACAGGTCTGCAGCCGCCGCACTCATCGTTTATGACATCACAAATCAGGTAAAAGAATATAGATTTTTCTCTTAGGGTGACGCTAAGGGGTATCCCACCGGGGAGAAAAAATGTTGCCCTCTTTTTACTCTTTTTTTTTCTTTCTTTTTCTTCTTCGTGTTTTTTTTAAATTTCTTTTGATGAAAAATCGACATTCTTGTGCTGTGTGAGGGGTAAGACTTTTTTTATGCAAACACTGCATAAATACAAACGCAATATCGCATTGGGGAGGAGGGTCAACTGCCCAAATAAAAATAGCAGCAAATGTAAACAGATTATTTACTTCTTCCTCTTTAAAAATAGGATTCCTTCGATGAGGTGGATTTCTGGATCTCAGAGCTGAGGAGCATGGGTCCTGAGGAAATCTTGATTTATGTGATTGGGAACAAAGTAGACCTTGAATCATTCCGTGTTGTCGACCGTAAAATGGCAGAGAGTTACGCCCAAACCAAAGGAGTATTTCACTTTCATTCCAGCGCAAAGACTGGTGAGGGTGTCGACGAAATCTTCTATCATATCTGTAAGTATTCCCTTTATTTTTAATCGCCTATTCTATGTATTTCCAGACTTAATCACGAGCGATAAAGGGATGCCATTTATCCGAATCGACGGCAAGTAGCTAAAGTTTGCATGCTATTTTCACAACAGTACTCTTGAAAACATGGGGCGCAGTTGATCAATAGTTTACATAATTTTACATTATTGTAATCATTATGATCTCGTCTCGTCTTGTTTTTTCACTTGAATCAAATTTGGGAAACGACAAGGCAGAGGCGGATTTCCAGAAAACGTGGGAGTTGAAGGAAAGATTAAATGTAGTCCATAATATAATCCCAAGGGAGGGTCCCTGAGAGTGACCCTTTTTAGGGGGGGGGGGGTCTGTCCTTTTCTTGGATCCGCTAGAGCAAAAGGCAATCATTGCCTTCTTCTCATCTTTAGATTTGATTAAGAATCCTACAAATATAAATTCTAAAGAACTTACTTAGTTTTGAAGAAGAAAAAAATTACGTATATAATAACAAAACATTTGCGAATACTAAAAGTTATTACTGCACCATGCTCGAAAGGGATTTAACAAAATTACAAACGACTTAGAGATAAGCCTGTTATCAATTAAAGAGAAACTTTAAACCATATGAGGGCATTCTCTAAAAAAACGGTCATTGGTTTTAACCATTCATTATAATAACATTGCGTATGTTATGCTTTGTTAAAATAAAGAATAAATAGAGAGATCATCAACAAGTATTCAAAAATATTCGTTTGAAAACTGTAAGCATTTTTTTGTCTTTCAACAGCCGGTTCAAAATTATCGAATATTTGTGGGGCCCCACAAATATTAGCAATGGTTATATTTATGGATATTTCAGCCGTCTGTGAACTGATTTTGATAAAACAAAGATGATTTTGTCATTTAAATTGTATATGTTCTTTCGAACTCGCCACTCAGTTTTTCATTATCTCACAAAGAAATTGAATCAGTTATGTTCTTGAATATTCCTTTTCATTTCATATCCTCCAAACAGGTCAAATGACAAGATCAATACAAGAAAATAGATCCAAGAATCGTCAGAGTACGGTCGATGTCTCTAACTCTACCAATTCCGATGAAAACAGAGAAGGTGATCGCGGTCGATGTCGATGTCAGAGCAAGTGATCACATCAGCAAACATGATCGCAAAGGCTTTCTAAAATCAACGTAAAAGCAATTTCAGTAGCCTTTTACATCGCCTTTTGAAATGCGCGAACCTATTACTTCAACCGAACATGATTTCTATACAGGGAATACAACAGGATATTGAAATTTCCTTGAGCTAATTAATCAATTTGCTAAGAGCTATTATCAGGCTTTATAAACTCTTTGCATGCATCAAGAAAAAAATCTGATGTCATATGGCTTAAGATTTACATGGAATTAAAACGAAAAAAAATCATTGCTATTATCCGTATATTCATATTAGACTTCCTAAACTGACGTTCTGCGAAATTCTACTCTGGCGACAGTGATTATTGATCCACGCTTAATATTCTTCACTAACCGAATTCTTAATTTCAAACCAGTCTACCCCTAACATTATACGCCAAAGAATACCCGAATCAATTGCTCCAGAAACATAATATCTTTCAACATTTCTTGCCAATGAACAGTGCGATATAAACTTACTTATACTGAGAGGGAAAAAAATGCCCTAATGTTAATTAAAAATTTGGGGAATAAGAGGAGGAAGGTGGGAGAGAGAGAGAAACAGAGACAGAGATAGGGGGCAACATTGTTGTTGTTTTTTCATCATCATTTATGAGATTGATCATGAAAGCAATTTGTCTTCTATGATTAAGGAGATGTTTCTCATAAGATGCATAATCAGAACTGTGGTACTGAAATAAAAGTTGCAGTGTATTCAAATCATTTTGGCCTGAAAGGGGTCGAAATTTAGTTAAAATTCGATTAATTTCATTTGACTTTATAAGCTAGAACATGACGCCGTTCAATATTAATGGGTGACTTTAAGTCTGGTATTTGGTATTTGGTATCCAGTATAATATTTATAGCCGACGTATGGGCCGGCCTCCGTCTTGTCAATGCCCTAGAAATGTCAACAAATTGGATGTTCTGAACGGAGGGGGTGGGGGTGGGGGGGGGGGGGGCTACTTTCATATCCCACGTCTAGGGAAAATTCCCCCACCTTTTATAAATATCTGAATACGCCACTTTTAAGATCACTCATAAGGGGGTGAAGGAGGGCGATTTTCCGCACTCGATGGAATGCTCTCCCTGCACATGTTGTCGGAAACATTTGAACTTCAAGTTTGTACAAATAGAATATAATGGATACCTCCTGACTAGAGGCTGTCTTATTTTCAAGTAATTTGCTGACAAATTGTATAATGTTTGACGAAATTTAGAATTTTTGACAGTTAGTTTATCATTTCGTTTTTGAAAAAAATAAATTATTATATATATTTGCTTATTTATGATTCATTGTCAGAAAAATACTTATTGTATTTTATATTACTACTCGAAAAACATTGTATTTATATGAATGCAGAAGAAAATAAAATAAAATCAAATCAAATACATGACTTTTGTGTGTGCGCGCGCGTGTGTGTGTGTGTGTGTGTGTGCGTGTGTGTGTATGTAGGTGCGTTTAATGTTTGAGCATCATCCCAATACATACAGAGAGAGAGAGAGAGAGGGGGGAAGGAAACTAGAGAGCTAAAAAGATAGGTAAAGAGAGAGAGAGAGAAAAAAAAATACTGCAACATTAACCAGTTTAGGCCATCTAATGTATTTCAGTTCATTGGAACTTAACGGCAGAACCCCTATCAATTATTTCACTTTAAAGTTCATTGCAATCTATATAGACGGCATCTACCGTTTAATGCAAGGGTTATTAGGCCTTGTAAACGTCGGGGAAGTCTTTAAGTCATTTTCTAATGTATGCACGCATAATAACAATGAACATGTTTTAACATGATTGCTGATGAACTGCCAAATGTATAAATAGCAAAATTTTGCTATTATGATTAAGACAAAATAGAGTCAATAGGACAAGAAATGAATACATCTAATAGTCATATACGAATTACTTAATTAATTCAATGATGGATTGACATTAACCTGTAGTGGGTATTTTTCGGGTAGGTGGTATGTCGGTGAGAATTAAAAAACTAAAATATGATATTATAATACTCTTTCATTTTATTTTCAAGTCTAGGGTTGGTTGGCTCCAGTTCATTTAAAGGGATAGTTGAGTTCTGTTTTTAGACTGCAAATGCCTTCAAAGTGCATGGTTATTGCTCTTATTCTTATCTATGACATTTCTAGTGCCCTTTTAGGACCCAAAAATTGCTATGAAGGTAATTTTAGACCCCAAAATGTGTGAAATTTAGCCAATACGATCATACCAATTCAACTCTATTTTCAAAAAATACAGTGACCGATAATTAATTGATTAATTAATAATAACAATACATGGGCCGACTGGTTGTGTGTAATATAACCAAAAAGCCAACAAACAAAAACCAACATCGGCATTGGCTGAAATACAACGTAAAAGGCGCTATTTCGTTTTTTCAACGGCTTTTTCATATTATCGAATATTTGTGGTGGTACACAAATATTATAAATTGTTACATTTATGGATATTCCAGCCGTCTCTGAACTGATTTTGATGAAGCAAAGATGATTTGTCATTTAACAGAAGTGCTAACGTCGTATTCGCTCCTTGTCTCGGTTATTGGTTCCTATATCAACAGGGCCTTCGCATGAATTTCACCGTGATATCATTCAAGCAACGGGCTGGAGCAGGGCAAGTTGTTTGGAGCTGGTGTGATCACCACGCCATTGTTTAGCACAAAATTGTTTTGAACCAACTACCTTGACAACTTGGCTAATATGATGTTATACTTTGGTACTCTATTGAACGTAGAGTAAAGGTTGGTGTTGAATACATAAACAGGTTTACAAATCTGAAGATACATTTGGAACCTTTCCGCCTTGTAATTTTATACTGCTTGAAAAATCATCTTCATATTTTGACCCATCACTGAGTGCGATCATAAACAGTTCGCAGGGTCAATATTTATTTGAGGTTTTGTTCCGTTTTTGGAGCAGCTTTAGAAATCCCCCAATTTAATTGGACTTTGACTTCAGCGTCTAAAAGAAAATGCTGTCAGTCTCTGGTCCGATTGTCTACGGAATATTATTGTCGCTGAGAATATGCCACAGAAGTCGATCAAAGTGTGCCTTCTTGGCGTAAGTATATCACACTGAAAATCTTTTCGAGAGTGTTTTAGTTGTTCTAATTTGTCAATGAGCCCTTTGGTCAATAGGAATTCGAAGCGCGCTTAATCATTTTCTTTTGCATTTCCTTGATATTGATTGTAATTGGAGGAGTGTAATATAATGAGGTATTTAGGTATTATCTCAGTCAGGCCTATAAGTTAACTTATCAACCTCACAACGTGAATTTCCTACGAATAATAATTATGCCCCACTGACATACGTATGGTAAATGTTTGCTTAATCATTGAAAAACGCAAAATGTTATTATTCTCGTTAACTCCCATGACGTTGGCCTGTACAACACAACGGAATAACGCCTTTTCATGGTCCAACGTATAATCTGCGTTGAAAATATATTACGTGCGCATGTCTGTGCGAGGTTTGGGTAACAAAAGGGGACTTCCCCATGCCGGCGGAGTAACCGCTGTCCTGTCCTGAATTGTTATATCGAATAGACAGTGTGTGTGTGAGGGGGGGGGGGGATGTTTCACAAATACTAAGACTTCAAGTTGGACTTAACTTTGGCAGGCCGTTCATGCCACTAGTTCCTTTTACCATTCCTGGCATTGGTTTCTCAAGGGACGTACAAATCATTGTCACAAATCTACAAAATTTGCATTGTTGATAGTTCACTATAATTGAAGGACAAAATATTATCTAAAGATCATAATTGAGAGACCAATGGTAAGAGCAACAAGTGGCATGAATGGCCTATCATAGTTAAGTCCAACTTAAAGTCGATCTTAGTCTTTTTGAAACACCCCCCCCCCCCCCCTGATCAGGCATGCGTTGGTTCTAAACTATAACAATGGGATGCGTAACACTCCACTTGGCTTTCAAGTTCCTTGCTCCGAGGCGCTCTTCATCTGCGGGGAATCTCAGAGGCCAGGCACAGTTTCACATTTAAAATACCGGCAAAATGTCAGTGTAAATTATAAAATTTGTTTGGGGATTGTATTGGGAATAGTGCATGTACTGTAGACAGTATGATCGATCTCTGTACCCCCCCCCCTCTCTCTCTCTCTCTCTCTCTCTATCTTTCTCTCTCTTCAAGACGCCTATATACTGCCGTGTCGCTCCACAATTCCCTTTCTCAAGATTCTTGGAGCCCTATCCTTCCTTCCCACAATCTTCATGATGATGTGTGTTTACTTTCATGTCATTTATTATAGACTCTCTGTGTAGGGAAAACCTGTATAACTACGCAATTCGTCAAAGGAAAGTTTGATGAGAACTGCGTCAGCACTATCGGGTAAGCTTCTACCCTCTTGACCACTTTCTCAATACAATACCGCTAATTTATCATTATACAATGTATCATATTACAACAATTTCTTACGACAGGAGCCTGGTCAAAATATAAATGTAAACGTCTATTCAACGAGAATTTCGTTGATGTACATGTCTGCACCTAATGGTGCTTTAAACATTGGTTGAATGGCCAATATGATTTAAAGCATAACCTTCATTCTCAATAAGGTCTTACTTGACTTTATTGAAATTATAGGAATGTCTTTATGAAACTAGTTAGAAGGAAGTAATTCTAGAACAGTAATATGAATAACAAAATCCGACTCGTACCATTCTGGATATAAAAAGATGCGAGACGTTTCTCTCGAGTCTTATACCCCATTCACAGTGGCCTCAAACACCGCGACAGCAGCGGGACTGTCCCGCTGCTGTCGCGGTGTTGTCTTCAGTGTGAAGGCTCGGACCCGTTATAAACTATCGCGGGATAACACCGCCTCGCGATAACGCCGCGACAAACTATCGCTAGTATTAAGAAATATGGTCCAAAGAGAGGTGAAAAAGGCTAAACTCGATTACTTACAAAACAAGATAGAAGAAAATAAACAAGATTCGAAAAAACTTTGGCAGAATCTAAAAAGCTTAGGATTGAAAAATAAGAAGCGAAAAGAACAAGAATCTGTCATTAAAATTGATGGGGAATTATGTCATGATAAGATGGCCATCGCTGATGAATTCAATTCTCATTTCACAAATGTGGCTGCCAAATTAGTAGACAAACTCCCCCCTTCCAAAGACTTTTTCAGCGCAGACAATGATTGTATTCGTGACTTTTACGAAAGAAAAGGTGTACGTGAAAACAGCTTCGAGTTATTACCAATCAGTGAACAATTTGTTTTCAAAGAGTTACGTAAGTTGAATGTATCAAAAAGTACTGGGTTAGACTTGATTCCAGCTAAATTTCTAAAAGATGGTGCGAAGGTTTTATTTAAGCCTCTAAGTTACTTAATGAACCTATCTATCTTGACGAGTACTTTTCCAGAAGATATGAAAATAGCAAAAGTGACTCCACTTTATAAAAAGAAAGATAAAACTGATGTTAGCAACTATAGACCTATTAGTGTTTTAAGCGTAGCATCAAAGATTCTAGAAAAATCGGTCTGTGTTCAAATTGAAAGATACTTCAAAGAAAATGATATAATTTATGAATTTCAATCTGGTTTTCGACATGATTATTCGACTGAAACATGTCTAATTCATTTGACTGATTATTTGAGGAGAGAAACTTCCCAAGGGCGCTTTGTTGGTATGGTGCTCCTTGATCTGCAAAAAGCTTTTGATACAGTTAATCATTGCGTCTTATTGAAGAAGTTACAACTAATGGGTTTTGATAAGGCAAGTTTAGATTGGTTCAGATCCTACTTATCTAATCGGCACCAAGTAGTGGCCATTCATGATATTCGTTCCAAACTAATGCCTATAACATGCGGTGTTCCTCAGGGAAGTATTTTAGGCCCAATTCTATTTTCAAGTTATATAAATGATATGTGTACTTGTATAAAAGACTTCAAACTATTATTGTACGCAGATGACAGCGTACTACTCTATTCAAATCCTGATCCTAAATATATTGAGGAAAAGCTCAGTGAACAGCTGTCTACGTGTGTCGATTGGATGACTGATAATAAGCTTTCTTTACACTTGGGAAAAACAGAAAGCATTTTATTTTGTTCTAAAAGTAGTTCTAAAAAGTCATTTGAATTCAAAGTGAGACACAATAATCAAGCAATCAAGAGAAAAGAGTCTGTGAAGTATTTAGGCATTGAGTTGGCTAGCGCAATTTCATTTTCATCTTTAGTAGAATCAGTTGTAAAAAAAGCAAATTCTCGTCTGAAATTTTTGTACAGATATCAAAGTTGTATGGATTTAAAAGCAAGACGTACACTCTGTTTTGCTCTTATTCAATGTTTATTTGACTATGCTAACCCTGCATGGTACAGTAACATAAACAAGTCAGATCAAAAGAAGTTGAAGATTATACAGAACAAAATGGTGAGATTTATCAACTGTTCTGGTCCAAGAACTCATGTTGGCTATAGCGAACTTTCTAAAGCTGGTTTTCTTGAAGTCGACCAAAGATCAAAACAACTCGCATTGCATCACGTGCATAAAATATATCATACTAGGTCGAATCATTATATTCGATCCAACTTCGATCTTGTTACTGACGTACATGATTATAATACAAGAAATAGACGATTCAACTTTAACTTACCAGAAAGAGTAGGTAGTATTGGAAATTCGTTTTATTACAATGCCATAAAACATTGGAATTCCCTTCCCAATGGTGTAAAAGAAATAGGAAACTATGATCATTTTAAGAGGAAATTAAAGGAATACCTAATACTTGACAGTCAGAGAAGAGAAGTGAATGACATGTTATATGATTGAAATTGTTATTCTTCTGTCGGTTCATACTTTTTCATGTTGTATATACTTATGTTTTCGTACGTTATAGAAATTCTACAAATTCATCATTATTTTCCTCTTCTTCCTTCTCCTCTTTTTCTTCTTCTCCTTCTTCTTTTTCTTCTTGTACTTAATATCATTTCTATCATCAGTTTAATGTTGTTATTATTATCTTTGATAAGTAGTTCTTTTAATTTTCTTATCTGTCTGTAAATATTACTATTTTAATTTATTAATTGTATACATGTCTGTAAGGGACCCCACTGGAAATAAGCTCTCGAGCTTTCGTGGGTTATCCTGTTCAAGCTGACTTATTTTTGATCTGTTATTATTGTATATTGTTGTATGTTGGAAGCTTGTCGAATAAAAATCAATCAATCAATCAGGTTCGCCTAGCTACAGCAGCGGGACAGTCCCGCTGCTGTCGCGGTGTTTACTCAGTGTGAAGGCTCTCCGCTATAACACCGCGACAAACACATGTGATTTGTTTACTTACCTATCACTGACCTCTTTTCTCCAGCAATGGGGAACATAAAGTGAAATAGAAATAAAGTAACCAGTGGATTCAAATTGATTTTATTATTATGTAGATATTATAATTATCCAAATAAAAATATTTCACACTTCAAAAAATTAAAATATTCTGACTGGAAGCAATAAAAATGCTAGTTTTTTAAAAAGTAAAGTAAAGTGTGTAAAGTACAGCTAGCGCGTGCAATTTCAAGCAATCGAAAACCCCGCGCTGAAGTATTTCCGGTCATATCGGGGTCACTCGCGGGTCATGAGCCATGCATACACGAGTTTGTTACGGAGGTAATAAAAATCACCCGCTGCAGCGTGAATGGGTACATGATATTTATCCCGCTGCTGCAGCGGGATAACTTTTCTACTGTGAATGCATTTGTAGCGGTGTTATGGCGGTGTCGCCGCTCCGCTACAACGCCGCTACAAATTTCAAAACCACTGTGAATGGGGTATGGCCTCAAACACCGCGACAGCAGCGGGACTGTCCCGCTGCTGTCGCGGTGTTGTCTTCAGTGTGAAGGCTCGGACCCGTTATAAACTATCGCGGGATAACACCGCCTCGCGATAACGCCGCGACAAACTATCGCTAGGTTCGCCTAGCTACAGCAGCGGGACAGTCCCGCTGCTGTCGCGGTGTTTACTCAGTGTGAAGGCTCTCCACTATAACACCGCGACAAACACGTGTGATTTGTTTACTTACCTATCACTGACCTCTTTTCTCCAGCAATGGGGAACATAAAGTGAAATAGAAATAAAGTAACCAGTGGATTCAAATTGATTTTATTATTATGTAGATATTATAATTATCCAAATAAAAATATTTCACACTTCAAAAAATTAAAATATTCTGACTGGAAACAATAAAAATGCTAGTTTTTTAAAAAGTAATATGATAAAACCCCGCGCTGAAGTATTTCCGGTCATATCGGGGTCACTCGCGGGTCATGAGCCATGCATACACGTGTTTGTTACGGAGGTAATAAAAATCACCCGCTGCAGCGTGAATGGGTACATGATATTTATCCCGCTGCTGCAGCGGGATAACTTTTCTACTGTGAATGCATTTGTAGCGGTGTTATGGCGGTGTCGCCGCTCCGCTACAACGCCGCTACAAATTTCAAAACCACTGTGAATGGGGTATTAGGCTAACAAATATCATAGGGGTTTCACAAGCTTGTTATAATGTATACAGTAATTTTTCGTTTCATAACTATCAAAAGAATGTGTCTTTTACATCTTTGTTTTCAAGGACAAGACTATCATTTCATGCATAAATCTTTTAATTATGAATACAATACGCTCTATTTTCTTCTTATGCATATGAAATTAGTCTAGTTCTTACTGAAACTAGCATTCGCTATTGAGCTATTGTTGGGTAGTTGGCATGTTGTTTTGGTCATAAAACTTTTCTGACTTACTCTCCCTCTCTCTTTTTCTGTCTCTCTCACTCCCTGTCTCTATTTCTTCTTCTCTCTATATATTTATTCTCTCTCCCCCCCCTCTCTCTCTCCCTCTTACTCTGATCTCTCCCTCTGCGTCTCACTCTCATCTCTCTTTCTCTCTCTCTCTCTCTCTCCTCTTTTCAACTTCCTCTTCCTCCCCTCTCGTCATCTCTCTCTCTTTCCCTCTCCCATCATAGCGCCGCCTTCTTGTCAAGATCACTCTACTTTCAGAACATCGAATATAGTTTTGCATTATGGGATACGGCGGGACAAGAAAGGGTAACTATGATATTCTCTTGAAGATTTATTGTTGAGAAGAAGGATTTTGTTTGTCAGCGTTATCGGAAATCATAGGTGTAAAATCATCTGATTTTCATATCATGTTTGTCGTTGTTCACTAAATAAATGACATTCTGTTCCATAACAGCAAACAATAAAAGAAATGATCCCTCTTTCATAATGGGGCGACCATTATTCTCTAAATATATGGCATCATTTCTATGTAACTTTGTAATTACTAAGAATTAGAATTGATACATGTGGTGGTGGTTATTTAACCTGACTGCTAAGAAAGCATAAACGCTTGTTAGTAAGCTACAAGTCCACTCCGAGGGACCTGGTAATGAGGATTAATGCCTTACCAAAGGGCACTAGCGCATCGGCATGGCTTCGAACCCGGCCACCGGATTACGAGACCACTGCTCTAACAACTAAAGCTATCGCGCCTCCTTATCAATAGCCAGTTTGATGACAAACGAGTTTAATGTGTATCTAATTGTCATAAGATATCTACATGGCATAATTCGTATTGATTCACGAATAGCAGGAAATATAATTCCATACAGTTTTTGTTATTATCACCTGTTTATTTGTCTTTTACAGTTTCGTTCACTGGCCCCTCTGGCGTACAGGTCTGCAGCCGCCGCACTCATCGTTTATGATATCACAAATCAGGTAAGAGAAAATAGATTTTTCTCTTAGGGTGACGCTAAGGGGTATCCCACCGGGGAGGGAAAATGTTGCCCCGCCGATGCATTCAAACAATTTTCAAATGATTTACTCTTTTTTTCCCCTTCTTCTTCCTCGTTTTTTTAAAATTTATTTTGATGAAAAATCGACTTTCTTGTGCGGTGTGAGGGGTAAGATTTTGTTTAATGCAACCACTGCATAAATACCAACGCAATATCGCATTGGGGAGGAGGGGCAACTGCCCAAATAAAATTGGGGCAAATGTAAACAGATTATTTCTTTCTTCCTCTTAAAAAATAGGATTCCTTCGATGAGGTGGATTTCTGGATCTCAGAGCTGAGGAGCATGGGCCCTGAGGAAATCTTGATTTATGTGATTGGGAACAAAGTAGACCTTGAATCATACCGTGTTGTCGACCGGGAAGTGGCAGAGAGTTACGCCCAAACCAAAGGAGTGTTTCACTTTCATTCCAGCGCCAAGACTGGTCAGGGTGTCGACGAAATCTTCTATCATATCTGTAAGTAATTCCATTTTTTTTATCGCCTATTCTATGTATTTCCACACTTATTCCCCGAGCGATAAAGGGATGCCATTTATCTGAATCGACGGCAAGTAGCTAAAGTTTGCATGCTATTTTCACAACAGTACTCTTGAAAACATGGGGCGCAGTTGATCAATAATTTACATAATTTTACATAAGTGTAATCATTATGATCTCGTCTCATCTCGTTCTTTCACGTGAAGCAAATTTGGGAAACGACAAGGCAGAAGCGGATTTCAAGAAAACAGGGGAGTCGAAGGAAAAATTTCAGAGGGGGGGGGGGGGGGTTCTGTCCTTTTCTTGGATCCGCTAAAGCAAAAGGCAATAATAAGAATCCTAAAAATCTAAATTCTAAAGAACTTAGTTAGTTTTGAAGAAGAACAAAATTACGTCTATAATTAAAAAAAAACATTTACGAATACTAAAAGTTATTACTGCACCATGCTTGAAAGGGATTTAACTAAATTACAACGACTAAGTGATAAGCTTGTTATCAATTAAAGAGAAAATTTAAACCATATGAGGGCATTCTCTAAAAAGTCATTGGTTTTAAACATTCATTATAATAAAATTGTGCATGTTGTGCTTTGTTAAAATAATGATTAAATAGAGAGATCATCAACAAGTATTTAAAAATATTCGTTTGAAAACTGTAAGCATTTTTTTGTCTTTCAACAGCCGGTTCAAAATTATCGAACATTTGTGGGGCCCCACAAATATTAGGAATGGTTATATTTATGGACATTTCAGCCGTCTGTGAACTGATTTTGATCAAACAAAGATGATTTTGTCATTTAAATTGTATATGTTCTTTCGAACTGGCCACTCAGTTTTTCATTATCTCACAAAGAAATTGAATAAGTTATGTTCTTGAATATCCCTTTTCATTTCCTTTACTCCTAACAGGTCAAAAGACAAGATCAATACAAGAAAATAGATGCAAGAATCGTCAGAGTACGGTCGATGTCTCCAACTCTACCAATTCCGATGGAAACAGAGAAGGTGATCGCGGTCGATGTCGATGTCAGAGCAAGTGATCACATCATCAAACATGATCGCAAAGGCTTTCTAAAATCAACGTAAAAGCAATTTCAGTAGCCTTTTACATCGCCTTTTGAAATGCGCGAACCTATTACTTCAACCAAACATGATTTCTATAAAGGGAATACAACAGGAAATTGAAATTTCCTTGAGCTAATTAATCTCTTTGCTAACAGCTATTATCAGGCTTTATAAACTCTTTGCATGCGTCAAGAAAAAATCTGATGTCATGGCTTAAGATTTACATGGAATTAAAACGAAAAAAAAACATTGCTATTATCCGTATATTCATATTAGACTTCCTAAACTGACGTTCTGCGTAATTCTACTCAGGCGACAGTGATGATTGTTCCGCGCTAAATATTCTTTACTAACTTAATTCTTTATCCCCAAGCCAGCCTAACCCCAACATTACACGCCAAAGAATACCCGAATCAATTGCTCCGCAAACATTATCTTTCAACATTTCTTGCCAATGAACAATGCGAGATAAACTTATTTATAGTGACACAAAATGCCCTGAAGTTAAAAGAAATCTGGGTGGGGGTAGGAGGAGGAGGGTGGAAGAGAGAGAGAGAGAGAGAGAAAGAGAGATCGAGAGAGAGAGGGGGAGGGGGCAACACTGTTTTTTGTTTTTCATTATCATTAATGAGATGGATCATGTAAGCAATCTGTGTTTTATGTTTAAAGAGATGTTAATCATAATATACATATTCAGGCAGGGGCGTAGACAACGGGGGGGGGGGGGGATGAGGGGGATGCATCCCCCCACCTCACAAGGTGGGGGGGATGGCATGTACAATCATCCCCCCCCCAGGTTTTGGGGAATGATATTTGCTTACTTAATAAGTCATAATGATGATAATAATAGTAATAATAATAATGATAACAATTATAATATTAATAATAATAATAATTATGATGATGATAATAATAATCCTCATCATTATTGTAATTGTGTTTATTGTTATTAGCCGCATTCACACGGTGAAAGCCAATTCAGACGGTAAAAAAAAGAAAATCTTACAAGTATTTTGTGGTTATCTTGTGGTTTGGAAACCACAAGATAACCACAAGATTAAACAGGCGCGGATCTACAAAAACAAAACAAAAAAAAAACAAACAAAAAGAAAAAAGGGAAAAAAAAGAAGAAAAAAAAAAGAAAAAAAGAAAAAAAAAGAACGCACGCTGGAGAGAAACCCTTTCAAGTGCAAATATTGTGAGAAGATATTCAACTCATCTGGATATAACTGTGTATTTAACTGTAACTTGATTTAAAAATACGTTATCATGCACTGCTTTTTATGGTCTCCATTGTGTTAATAGATGCCAGGAAAACATCACTTACGGGGTTCAAATAAACACCCCCAAAAAAATTGGCTCGCCGCTTCGCGGCTCGTGGACGATGCTCCGCATCGTCATTATTGGTCAACCCCCCCTTAGCAAAAAGCTAGATCCGCCCCTGAGTCATCCCCCCAGGTGTACGAACCTGTCTACGCCACTGTATTCAGGACTGTAGTACTGAAATAAAAGTTGCAGTTTATTAAAATCATTTGGACCTGAAAGGGGTCGAAATTTAGTTAAAATTCTATTAATTTCATTTGACTTTATAAGCTAGAACATGACGCCATTCAATATTAACGGGTGACTTTAAGTCTGTGAATGTTATTATAAGTTATGACATTTGGTATCCAGTATAATATTTAAAGTCGATGTATGGCGCGGCCCGGCCGCCGCCATTTCTAGGCCCTAGAAATGACAATAAATTGGATGTTCTGAACGGAGGGGATAGGGGTGGGGGGGGGGGGGCTACTCTCATATCCCACGTCTAGGGATAATCCCCCACCTTTTATTAATATCTGAATACGCCACTTTTTATACTCATTAGGGGGTGAAGGAGGGCGATGTTCCGCACTCTATGGAATGCTCTCCCTGCACATTCGAACTTCAAGTCTGTACAAGTAGAATATAATGGATACCTCCTGACTGGGGCTGTCTTATTTTTAAGTAATTTGCTGGAAAATTGTATAATGTTTGATGTTTGATGAAATTTAGTATTTTTGACAGTAAGTTAATCATTTCGTTTTTGAAAAAAAAAATATTATATATATTTGCTTATTTATGATTCATTGTCAGAAAAATACTTATTGTATTTTATATTACTACTCGAAAAACATTGTATTTATATGAATGCAGAAGAAAATAAAATAAAATCAAATCAAATCAAATAAAATATGTGACTTTTGTGTGTGCGTGTGCGTGTGTGTGTGCATAACGGCGCGTTTAATGTTTAAGTATCATCCCATACAGAGAGAGAGAGAGAGAGAGAAAGAGAGAGAAAGAGAGAGAAAGAAGAGAGAGAGAGAGAGAGCTAAACAGATAGAGGAAGATAGAAAGAGAGAGAGAGAGAGATATACTGCAACAATAAACTAGTTTAGGTCATCTAATGTATTTCAGTTCCTTGGAACTTAACGGCAGAGCGCGCCCCTATTAATCTGTTGACTCTACAGTTCATTGCCATCTATATAGACAGCATCTACCGTTTAATGTAGGCTAAGTGTTATTAGGCCTTGTAAACCTCGGGGGAAGTCTTTAAGTCATTTTTTAATGTATGCACGCATGATATCAGTGAACATGTTTTAACGTGATTGCTGATGAACTGCCAAATGTATTGAGAGCAAAGTTTCATTATTATGATTAAGACAAGATAGAGTCAATAGAAAAAAATGAATACATTTAATAATCATAATTACGCATTACTTAATTAATTCAATGATGGATTCATATTAACCTGTAGTAGGTACTTTTAGGGTAGGTGGTATGTCGGTGAGAATTCAAAAACTAAAGTATGATATTATAAAACTTTTTAATTTTATTTTCAAGTCTAAGGTTAGTTGGTTCAAGTTCATTTAAACCTTTTAGGACAAGGTCTTTATGAGGATTAAATTGAAGATAAATAGTTCTTCAAATTTACAACAATATCAGTCATTTTACTTCTACATTGTAATCTCTGAAACCAATAGACAAACGCAAAAAGACTTTGTCGAAAAGTTGAAACAACGGCTTAGTTTGATCGAAAAACAATGTCAGACAAGCTTCAATTGAAATTCTCCTCTTCAGAATGTGTTTTACAAAGGCATGTTTTTCACCTGCATTCCCTAGATCTCTAACATTGACCATATTTACTTTTAATGATAACATAAGCTGCGTAAAGAACGTAACAATATCATTTCAAGGTGTTGCGTTTCCCTTCTTCGAGATCCAGCCTTCATAATCATTGGGGGGTAAGAGCACTTTTTTTTTGGGGGGGGGGGGGTCCACGATTTGATGACAAATTTTGAATAAGTTGGGAGAGGTGAGGTCACCTTTTTGGGTCACCCTTTAGCACACAATGCACAAGTTTGCAAATATATACCGATATACCGACCTCACCACAGCCTTTTGCCGGTTGGTATATCAAGTCGACAGCCTTGTGAGCGCTTGGATAAGACCAGAGAACATTGGCATTCACGATGCCCGTTTTTAATTATTATTTGTTTCTGATGCCTGAGTTGCCCCCCCCCCCCCTTGTCTTCCCTTTATCTAGATTGCGCGCTCTCTCTCTCTCTCTCTCTCCCTTTCTCTCTCTCTCGCTGTCGCTGTCAAACTCCCGAATAGAGTACCGAAGTGCTAACGTCATATTCGCTCGTCGTCTCGGTTACTAGTTCCAAACAACAGAGCCATGCGCATGAGGATCACCGCGGCATTATTAGGGACTTTTAGATTTGCATGTCGACAGCTTTGACTGCAACGTGTGACGTCATTTTAAGGCACTGCGCATGTGTCACGTCGTCTCAGTCGGCGATCGAGAATGCTTTAACCTTGATTGTCCTAAATCTAGTACGGTACAAGTGTGCCGCGTGCGCATAAAATATACAGTTCCTCAGGTACACAAAGAAACATCCCTTCCCTGCTATTAAGTAAAAATGTGTAGAACAGGTGTCACACGCATATTCAACTGTTCTACACATTTTTACATAATAGCAGTGAAGGGATGTTCTTTTGTCTACCACAGCAATTGTTGAGGGTAGAATGAGGAACTGTATATTTTGTCCTCTTTAATTGTCCGTCATAATCGTAGTGTTACTTCCTGCATGCATGTATATCGTCGAGTGCGATCTTTAAAAGATCTAATTGTAGTCAACATGGGCAGTTGAGTACGTTGACACGCATGATCAGTCGGCGTTCGTCGTGTTCTCGTCCACTTAATCTAAAAGTCCCTACTTCAGCAACGGACAGGAGCAGGGCAAATTCTAAGTTTGGCGCTGGTGTGATCAAATCGCCATTAGGGACTTTTAGATTTGCACGACGAGAACGTGGACTGCGACGTGTGACATCCAATTTTACGTCCTTTTAAGGGACTGGCAGTGACGTCACATTGCCTTAAAAGGATGTCACACGAGCAGTCCACGTTCTCGATATCGTCGTGCAAATTTAAAAGTCCCTAATGTTACACCTTGACAACTTGGCTAATATGACGTCACACTTCGGTACTCTATTTCTACAGTACTCTCTTAGGGTATGTTTATGCTCAACTTTTTCTGGCCAGAATCAGGCATCTGTTACGCGTTTAGTTCAAAACACGGTTGCGTCCTTTCTCACTTTTGTAGAATCACCGAAAAACGGCGATCATGATCGCCGATCGTAAACTCACAAAAAGGTGCGTTTACAATTTGTAAACGCGTTTAAATGTGGTCAACGCACTGATGCAAGGCCAATTAAGGCCGCCCAGGAAGAATTGCCTGGAGGAGCCAGAGAAGTGAGCATAAACAGTACACCGTGGAACTGCGATTACGATGAGCGTTTACGATGTGCGTTTCAAATCGCTCATTCTGCCTTCAAAATTGAGCTTAAACGCACCCTTAGACAGCTAGCACGGGCCAAGTATATGATTTGCATCACAAATCATTTTTCGACTGACTCACCAATAAATGTGTATTGAAATGGAATTTGCTAT